ATAGCTTCCGAGGGAAACCAGTAAGCTACTGAGGGTGGATGCTTGTCCTAATGACCTAAGCCAGCCTCTAAATCACACTGGCTTTGGAAGGAAAAGCTTTTGGGTATTCCATTGCAATCCAACAGATGCATCTTTGTATCCAGGCAAACATACAACCAGCAAAAAAGGTATTTGGCACTGATCGAGTCCTGACTTATCCTCTGTTATCAAGAATATGTTTCTCACACACACACAAATCAATTTATCTACTACTCTATTAGATGGGAAGACAGGAGTCTCAAGTGCCCTGAACACACATTAATCAAATTTGCAAGTTTCAAAGAGGCCTAGCAAAGCCCAGTCTGAACAAAAAGACAGTCCTGCCATTTTAGAATCCTACACTCTAAATGATAGCTGCTTTCCTAAATGCCCTCAAAACTTAAAAGTATTTCCAAACAAATATAGCCTAAGACTTTTCTTGAACAATTCAATCCTAAGTCAAGAGAAACCAAAAAGTATTTCCAAGCAAACATAGCCTGAGACTTGAATAATTCAATCCTAAATCAAAACAAATTGTGGCAGATCAGCAAAAGTGCTTTTTCAAAACGCAAAGAAACAATGACAGAAGGTTTGCATGGATGCTGGAAACCAGGAGAAAATGAGCCCAGGCAGTACACACTATATTAATGAGTATAATGTGTGTGCTGAATCAACTGACACTACTGCAAAACCTTAAGGCACAATGTTGGAATCGCTTCAGATGCACTTACAAAGGTAGAACACAGAGAGTCTCATTATCATGTAAAATAGGCACTTGATCCAAGTGTCCTGAGAATGGAAAGCTAACCCAGATGGAGCTCTGGGAACTGAGGTAGACAAAAGTGAAAGGATTGTTATGACCATACTACAGTTTTATTAATAGAGGACAAGGAGTACACAATGCTATTAGGCTAATTTAATCTACTAACTGCAACATCTGTTCAATTATAGCCATTAGCAGATGAGGGCACTGATAGAAGACAAACTGCTACACAGCCAGTGGTACAGTGCTTCAGTGGGAAGTGTGAGGACTGCACAACTCTACGGCTCTGCATGATCTGGAAGCTCACAACTGACTCTTAAATGTCACTCTTCTCCTTGCAACAACCACAGATTCACAGAATTGTTTATGTTGGAAAAGACCTTAAGATGACCCAGTTCAACTATTAACCCAGCACTGCCAAATCCACCACTAAACCGTGCCCCCTAGGCGCCACATCTACATGTCTCATGAATACCCCCAGGGATAGTGACGCAACCTCTTCCCTGGGCAGCCTGTTCCAGTGCTTGACAACTTTTTCAGTGCAGAAATTTTTCCTAATATCCAATCTAAACTTCCCATGGAGCAAACTGATATTTCCTCTTGTCCTGTCACCTGTTAGCTGGGAGAAGAGACCAACCCTCACCTTGCTACAACCTCCTTTCATGTAGTTGTATAGTGCAAAAAGGTCTCCCTTGAGCCTCCTTTTCTCCAGGCTAAACACCCGCAGCTCCCTGAGCTGCTCCTCATAAGACTTGTACTCCTGACCCTTCACCAGCTTCATTGCCCTTCTCTGGACATGCTCCAGCACCTCAGTCTGTCTTGTCTGAACACAGTACAAGAGGTGCAGCTTCACTGAGTATAGGGGGATGATCCCTTCCCTAGTCCTGCTGGCCACACTATTTCTGACACAAGCCTGAATGCTGCTGGCTTTCTTGGCCACCTGGGCACACTGCTGGCTCATGTTCAGCAGTGGTCAACCAACAGCCCCAGGTCCTTTTCCAACAGGCAACTTTCCAGCCACTCTTCTCCAAGCCTGTAGCACTGCATGAGGTTGTGACCCAAGTGCAGGATTCTGCACTTTATCTTGTTGAATCTCATACAGTCAACCTCAGCACATGGATCCAGCCTGTACAGATCCCACTGCAGAGCCTTCCTACCTTCCAGAAGATCAATGCTCCTGCCCAGCTTGGTGTTGTCCACAAACTGAGGGTGCACTTGATCTCCTTGTCCAGTTCATTGATAAAGATATTAAAAAGGGCTGGCCCCAATACTGAGCCTTGGGGAACACCACTAGTGACTGGGTGCCAGCTGAATGTAACTCCCTTCACCACCACTCTTTGGGCTCGGCCATCTGGTCAGATTTCTACCCAGAAAATATTGTACCAACCCAAGCCGTGAGCAGCTAGTTTCTCCAGGAAAATGCTGTGTCAAAGCCTTTACTAAATCCAGGTAGACTACATCCACAGCCTTTCCCTCATCCACTAAGTGGGTCGCCCTGTCATAGAAGGAGATCAGGTTAGTCAAGCAGGATCTGCCTTTCCTTGGGACTTGTTGGGACCTCATTGCTGCACAGCTGAAAAATCAACAATGGATAATAATCTAAGGGCTGTACCAGGGGAGGAAGCTTTCTCTTCACATCTTTAACCTTGGCCCCAGGAAAGCAGCAGACTTCCCTAAGAAGTAGGTCCAGTCTGCATACTGGGCCTTATGTTCTGTTCAGAAGGGAGTCTCCTATGAAGATGACCAGTCTTTATGGAAGCAGTTTTGACACAGGGCATCAATACCTGAGCCTAATAATTGAGCTTTGCTTGCAGTGTCTGTTTTGCAACTGAGATGTCAGTGGTAACACTGGTAACTGCACCAAGCTAGGTCTGCTGACAAAGGCGATGACAAACTTCAGCCATCAAAAAAGTTCCAGTATACCCCAAGTGTGTTTGCCCATCTCATGCAGCTACAGCTCCTCAACTACTTGGTCCCAAATCAACACCACACATGCACCCTGCTAAAACTGCCAGACTGCAGCATGGAGACAACTTCAGAAGCACTCAGCTTGGAGAAAAATCTTTCCCTGCCCATGGGACTCTTACTCACACTTCCATCAAAGCATAGCAGCTTCATGGTCCCTGTAGCGCATCCCTTAGTCTTAGCACGATTAAGTCTGGATTTCCCAATGGATTCACTCTGGTTTTGCCTGTTAGTCCTGTTGGCTATGGCACTAAGGGACACACACACTCTACAAACACCTTGAAAAGCAAAGGGTAGCAAGGTTAATTTGGCAGACCAGCCAGCCATGTGAAGCAGGGGACAGTGAGTAATAAAGCATACCACCCCAAGCAAGAGCTGAGCAAATGCCAAGTGCCACTGAGATTCACAGACCAGCAAGCACAGAGCTTTAAAATTTTCAGGCATTCTTATACCAAATGGCACGAACCCAATGACTCTCTTATTGCTAGATGGTTTTAAACTTCCTTCTTGAAGTTGGCCATGCACCCCGGCTGTGATCAAAGCCCACTCTCTACGGGGTTCCTTTTATCACCTCCAGCCAAGAAACTGGACTGTAAAAGTAATGTCAAAGAAGAGTCTGCCAGTGTCTGCACCTCCTCTCCCCAAGAACTGACTGACAATTCAGTTCTCCATTTAATCCAGCATCAGGCTTTGCCTCGCTGCACCTATTTGAATCTCTATGACTCTATCTGACATGAGTCTGGTGGGATCTGCACTATGTCCTTGGATGCTGTCTTGTCTTTCCTCTCAGATGAGTACCTGAGAAGGCCAGAAAGATTCTTGATACTCTATGGCCATTGCTGTCACCCCAGAAGTGCCATTGGCTTGGTGCCTGTGCCACCCCGTGAGTGTTCAGAGAAGTAGATAAGTGCAATTCTCCTACCTTGGTGTATAAACTAGTGAGCAGGAGTGGGAATTGATGGGTTACAGTTACAAGCTACAGTCCCATAATCCATGATCTGATTGCTGCCTTGGAGTCTCTGTAACAACAGTCACAAGTCACCATCCCTGAAAATATGGAGGTAAGTAGGGAAGGAAATGAAAGTGGGACAAAATAAGAAAGAGAAACAGGTAAAGGAAAAAACCAGTAAAATCACCCAAGCATGTGTAAGGCAGCTATGCCACATAGAAAAGCTCCAATACCTTACTCCCTCAGAACTCTCCACAAAAGCAGCACACAATGCCAAAGCCCAGCTTGCTGATCCCTGGCTGAGCCATCCATTTAAGTGCCAAACACCAGATTCAGCCTACCTTCAGTTGGTTGAGCACTTGTGGTTGATTGTTAAGCTTGAGAAGTAGCTAGGTGAGCTCAGCCATGTGGAAGCCACATTTGGGACTGTGGAGTGTGTCCATCATGACTTCCTCAAAGCATGAGTCTCAGGGGAAGGAGTTTTGACTGTCTGAGACCTGTTACCTCACACACATCCCTCTGGTTCTTTCTACTCTCAGTTCTGGAGGCTTTTAGGATTACAAAAATGACACCTGTGCCACCTTTGCTCTGGTCTCAATGCTCTCCCCCCTCCAGCAGCAAGCTCTTACAATAGTATTTAGACTGAAAAGATTTATACTAAAAATGGCTTAAGCAAAAACGTACAATTTGTCTGGTGAGAGAAATGTCTGACAAATAGAAAGGACCTTAGTACTAGTAGGCATCACCTTCACTGCTAAATGACCTTGGGTCCTTTCCTGGGCCTTCCACATACATGTTATGAATTAATTCACCATGCCACCAGCACCTCTCATTACAGCCCTGCTGCCTTAGGGCTTGCAGAGGATGGTTTGGCCTTACAATTCATCTTCTGCCTTTGATTTCAGAACAGTTAATGGAAGGATACAAGCAATTGGGTGTGTATCAAAACAGACTGGTCTTTACTCCAGCTCAACTTAGCTAAGTGTGTTCCAGTTAGCTGCATTCACACCAGGATTCTGGGAGAGCAGTTGTCTTCTAGCTTGGTCCTGTAGACCATGATGCTCACCACTGCTAAAATCAACCAAAGTTGTAAGCCTCAGAGCAGAAAAATAAGAAGAAATAATGTTTAAGTTATTACAGTGGGGGGGGGGACTCCTATATCCAAATTGGATAAGTTGTACAGCCTTTTTTCATCCAACTAGTCTAGAATTATAGGTACAAGAACTACTCAAGGTAGCATGAACTCCCTTACCCTACCCTCTGCATTTGTGCTCAGATAGTTCAGTAAAAACAAAACCAAAATACAAATCAAAAAGCATGTATTTTGTAATTGAAAATCCACCTTCCTGATCAGCTGGTCAGAGAAGACCTGCTTCTTGGACCTTCTGGTCTTTCTCCAGACTGGACTGGTTAGATTCTCTGGACGAGGGCAGCACTGTCTTCTGAATAGAGCTGACTCCAGCCGGCAGAGAACTGAGATTTACACACTTTGCTAGTCATGGTCACTGACGGCTTCCTGAACATTGAGTGGATCTCTCTGATAACGTCGCAGAAGAGGAGCCCGGAGGAATAAGGAAAATTGCCTCAACCAGTCCCCTCCCTTTCCCTGCAGAAAGAGCTTCTAAAAGTATGTGTGCAATTAGTTCACTAGAGGCCCCCTCCCACATGCAAACAGCTGCATTTATTGCACAGCATGTCACAGGGACATCATACCCCGAGTTCTGGTGAGCAGATATGAACTAGTAGCCTTGTCCTCAGCACTCTGCAAAGTGGAAGGAGCCAGGCTGCTCAAGCCCTCATTTGGGCTTTGTAGCCCAGCTTCCTCCAGTCACATATACTGAACCCCACTTGGCAGCTGATGGCAAGGAACAAGAATAACCCTAGGGGCCTAGAATAATAGTTAATCAGCTCTAAAAAAGGGCAAAGCACTGAAGGGCTCAACACATTTTCAGGGGAGAGAAGTGAGCACAGCACTGCCCTACATCTGGCTCTAGCCAATACAAAAATGTGTGAAGCCCTGCAGACTCCCAGAGGACCAGAGCCTATAGATTCTGCGTGACATTAACAGTGAGCAAACACAGGCCTCAGCAGCTGGATGTGCTGGAATTACATCCACCTGTCTCAAAATGCCAACAAGGAGCTTCCCCACAAGCCAGACCCTTTGCTAGAAAGGAGAGAGGTTGCGTGTTGACCTGAGCTAGTAACAGGGACACAGCAGGGGTTGAAGGGGGGTTTACTCACTGTGTGTTCATTTTCCAAATTGGCCTGTTGTCTTCGAAGATCAGCCTTAATGAATGCTGGAACAGAGGGAGGAAGAGAGATATGAAGGCAGTTAAGTCACCATGCAGAGACCAAATCAATTTCCCCAGGATTCAAAGGAGTAGCAGAAGCCTCTTCCCTTATGTTATGGTGAGCAAGGGAAACCATTCTCCTGGATGAGGCTGAGAGCACTTCTGAAACAAGCAGGATACAGATTCCTTATTGCAGCATGCAGGAGGTGCAACCTTGAAACCCAACCAGCAGCCATAGCAAGAAGCCTTGGATCTTCTTTTTAACACAGATCAGATGCTTAAAGAAGAACAACAGCATTGCTACAGGACTGCTGTGTGGGTTCTGGCCTTACCTGCAGACACCACAGCACACAAAAGCCCTTCAACTCATATGCCAAGCTCAAGGGGAAAAGTCAGAGCAGAAGAACACTAAAAATTTTAATTACCTGTCATAACGGTCCCCAGGAACAGGAAGGAACAAAGAAAGAGGTTTCCTGCCTTCGTTCCAAAGTGATCCATGATTTGCCCTTGGCCAATGGTGAAAGCAATACCAAAAATCTACAAACAAACAAAGCCAGTGTCCAGCTGTACCCCTATTATAAAGCAGCCCAAACAGCTTCCCAGCTTTACCAAAGTGTCAGAGCACACAGGCCAGCCAAACAGTTGCCCTAGTGAGGCTAAAGTTCAGTTATAAACACATCCAGAGGCACATCCTTGCAGCTGATGGGATGACAAATGACCCTTAAGGTTGGAATCCCATCTCTCACTGGAGAAGAGCCAGGTCCTAGGCTGTTAGAAGCAATGTTGGAAAAGGCAAGGGCGACTGGCATCCTGATGGATTTTCTTAAATAGAAACAGAATGTTTCTGTTTTCCACTAGAGAAATGCTATGGGGAACATAAATCAAAAAGCCAGGTCTCAAGGTGCTTAGATCTACAGTACATGACACTAATAATGGATAAGAAATAGAAGTCAAGGCTTGGAACTACAATTTAATCTTTGCCTAAAAAGAGGCAACCAAAGGGAAAACAGCACACTTACCTGTGCTGAGACATTAAGGAGCCCTGATGATGTTCCTTCTGATTCTGGGTATGTCAACTCTGCAGCAAACTCAAAGCCCAGGGGAAGGTATCCTGTCATGAAAAAACTGTAAAGAAGCACACAGAAAGGAAGACTCAGCAACCGTCAGAAGGAAGACTGAAGAGGCAGACTATGGCCCATAGCTCTAAGGCACATCACCCCCAGCACAGTCAAACAGCCACTTAGGCAGACATGCTTTTCATTCTTGTCCATTGGTCACCTATTGGGCTGCGGTATCCCTGGCTTTCCAAATGTTTCCACTTGATTGCCTGGAACAATTAAGGCAGATGCAGCTGAGCAGGGTCACAATAACGTCCCTGACTCTAATGAAACACATACAAGTGAGAGATGGGAAAAGCAGATAATTTTTTCCTTAAACCATGCAGGAGCCATGCACACGCTATGTCTCTCCCCAGTCCCTCCTGCACCATCAGCTTGGCCTCCCTGCTCATCCCCTAGCATGTCGAGGAAAGCAGCCTGCACATGAACTTACCCCAGCGTGCCAGCAGTCACAAAGACCACCCAGAGATGGCCTAGGCTCAGAGTGAAGGTGTAGATTATCATTCCCACTAGAGACATGATATAGACGACTAGGGTTGTCTGTCTGCAAGAAAAAGCAGTCAGGTTTTTATTTAATCCAGTCCTCCTTTTTGCCCACAGATCTTGGTATAGCTTGTAGCACATGGTTAAAAAAAAAAATTTAAAAAAAGTTGTACAGCTCTCTCGCCACTCCTACCAGAGACAGAGGAACTGGACTGACAGAGAGCATGAAAGGACCTGTGCACACAGCAGGGCAGTAGAAGGAAAATCCTACCATGGGCTGACAGGTGCTTTGTCATGTCCTGTACATGCCACTTGACGGGGAGAACAAAAGCCAAATAAAACAACCACTAATCTTTCTTGGACACCAGTTGAACACACAGGAGCCAAGGAGATGGAGCCCTCTCAAGCAGGAAAAGCAAAAGAAAGAGATGTCAACACTGCTACAGTCTTATGGCCATATATTTTTCAGTGCTGTCCAAAACAGCTTCATTGCTGCTCCCTTCTGTTGTTTAAACTGCCTGCTGTATTTGGAGAGGTGATGTGCAAGCCAGGTTGCCCTCACAGCCTCATCCTCAAGCCACGGGATAGTGCTAGTTCCACAGCCAACTGCAGCTGAGCAGCTCTTGTCTCTGTGCAGAGGAGACAAAGAGACCTTGTGCTCAGGAAGCATGCCAGGCAGATCCTGGGAACAGCCAAACCTGCAGCCAGGCCACGTGAGGATCATCAGTGGACTCAGTACTGTGAGACACATGCAGCAGTCCAGGCCAGCTTTAGAAGATCCAAAACGTTTAGCAATTGTCATCCCTGACTAAACAACAAGGAAAGCCTTCCCACATCAAAAAGACCAAGGCTCTTTTTAGTACAAGAGGCAGCTAGTAACTCTTCATAGTACATAGTTTTTAGGAGGGAAAGGAGGGAAAGGAGTATCCTTTACCTGACTCAAATTCCACCAGGATTTTGATAGTTGAACAGATATCAGAGTTAATAAAACCTTTTCACCATTGTCTTTTAGGAAGAAGTTAAAGGTATAACCATGAGCTGCTTGTTTACTTTCAACCAAACTTTAGTCTTAATCCATCAAAGAATGTGTTTGATACCAGTTCCTAGAATTCTACTGAAGAAACTAAAACTCAGACTATTTTCACTTTTCCTTTTTAATGCAAATGACCACTGCAAAAAATCCAACCCCAAGTGGGCAGCCAGTATTATAATGGGTAATAAAATTTTTCCAGTACACTGAATTACTACAGATAAATCCAGACTGTTCTAGCTAAGGTTCTGTCCTCCCTCACTGCTGCAATGACTGCAGTCAGTGTGGTCATACTCATATGTCAATTCTTATCCAAATACAGGCCTTAGAAGCTAATTTCAGGCTTCAGCTATCGATCCATACTTACAAAGGTTCACCAGACACATTTAATGTATTGAAAGGCTAAACGTTTTGCTGTGACAAGTAATGTTGTTGTGTATCAAAGGAGTAGTTAAATCCCTTAACCTCCGAAATACGTTCTTTCCAATGTTTTCAGAGGAAAAAAGCCATCTGTGAAGGCGAAATAAAGGGATGGCTTACTTCTGTTATAATTCACTGCAGAGAGCTGCTACATGGTTGGCACACAGCCTGGAGGCTGCAGAAGAAGAGCTAAAAGATTGACTGAGCAATTAGAGAGCAGTTCCAGAAAGTCAAAGAGATAAAAGTAAAAGCCTTTTTCTGCTCAATACAGGGTCCTCAGATATCTCTCGTGAGTTCTTATGTCTCCCAAGCCTTAAAAAGCAGCCATGGAGAAAAGAGATGATTGGGAAAAGACCTCAAAGCTAGAATTAGAGCTCTGTGCTTGGGCTACACAGACCAAGCTTGAACTGGGTGCTCCTTCCATAAACAGGAGTCTCCAAACTACACAGCAGTAGTAAAATACACAGCAGTGCTAAAATACAGTGCAGGCCTCCAAGAGGTGGCCGTGGCCCTAAGAAGTTTAGTTGCTGCCAGCAGCGACACTCAGCTGGGGTTTTGGTGGGTTTTTTTTCTCCCCACAGCCCATTTTTGGCTCAGTGCACAGGTCTTAGGATAGTCACACAGCATCTCACTCAGTTTCCTAAGCTTATGATTCAAGTATTCCATGTGACTTGTATCTGATTCTGTATCATGACAGTTGCCAAGAGTTGCATTTTGCCCGTCATCTCCAAGCAAAGGTGATGAACAAGATAGTGACCAGATGTGGTTGGGACTTTGTTTCATATTGATGCTATGTCATTAGTCAAGGTGCAAGAAAGAAGTTCCCAGAACATGCAGTGCACCACTGAGAACTAGAGCAGGCAGGCTCACAGAAGCAGACAGCTCTTGAAAGTGTTCTCCACTGAAACTGCAGAAGTAAACAGGGGGGGGCACAACACAGCAAACTGATCTTGCCATGGGTACCTCATCTAGTGTACATTTAGCTGGATCTAGGGGACTAGAGTTTTCCTCACTGACCTTCCTGAATCATTAGGCTGCAGAAAGATAAAATGTATCAACAGACCCTTGTGAAAAAACAAGACCACAGCCTTGAGTGCTGTGGGAATCACAGACATTGAAGTGCCCTGAGGCCACTCGCCTGAGCGCTGCCTGCTCAGGACAGCCGCCCACAGGAGATGAACAGACAGCCCTGGATGCATCTCCCGCTGCAGGAAACAGCCTTAAACACACAAGCAGACTTCTGCTGGACCAGACTTTAGCAAGACCTTGCTCCCCCGAGCATACCACTGATGACAAAAAAGGAGATTTAGTACTCAACAGTCCAAGCAAGACCCAAAAATTTTAAGAGGGTTTAACTGAAATACTGGCAGACACTGGTGAACAGGGAAACAAAGAAATCACTGGGGAAAGACAGTGAGGCAGGGTGTTTCTCAGGAAGCGGCCTTTGTCACTAGAAGACAAGAATGCTCTGTGGCTCTGGGGGCACTAGGACATGAGAAGAATGCCAGTTTAGCTTAATAAGCCTCTTATCATAGCCATAAATCTTATGGGAGAGAGAAAAGTACAAAGGAGAAGCAGATTCACAGAGGACATTGGCACTGCATTCTGGTGTTTTCAGCAACCTGTTCTCATGATGGCTTCATAGGGACTCATTATTACTGTCTGGAAAACTGACAGCCTACTTACCAGGCTGCCTAGTGCAGTGTGTACAAGTTAGGAAGTTAGGCATCCTGCTACATCACCTTAGGAAAGCTGGGGTTAATCCAGCTCTGTGCTCTGGGGTTTGGGAATGAAGCCCTGTGCACCCATGTGGAAGCATTGCTCCAAAGGCACTGGTGCCAAGTCTCTGTGGCAGTCAGAGGAAGATCTGTGAAGGAGCCAACATGCTTGTCACTTAGATGAACCTAACTGGCCCTGACACTCATCTGCCCTCCCAGTCACATTCCCTACCCTTCTGAAGAGGCAAATTAAAGAGCTCACGCAAGGGACTGTGAGAAAAGAGAGACCTTGGGGGAAAAAAGCCAGACAGGGCCAGCATGAGCAGGGAACAGGACTGAAATGAAGAACACAACTCCTGCTGTTCAGTCAGCTCCAGAGGAAGCCTCAGAATATGCAACGGGCATGGCCCAGCCCAGCCTTGTCTCAGAGGGTCACTTGGACGAGGAAAGCCAAAGTGACAGGACCAGACTCACAGGGGACTGACTGCAGCTGCGAAAACAAGTCAAGCAACATCTGAAGCAACAAATGAACAAGCTCAGGGAGGGAGGGGGTAGAGGTAACAGCCACGTGCAACAGTTTTAGCTGCTCACTGGGATGTTGTGTGCAGCTCCAGAATGCTCTGCTGTACAGACTGAGATGACAGATGGCCTCCACAGGCTTTGCCATGAGGACAGCACATTCCAGGCTGCGCAAGACCCTGAACAAAGGCCTTGTCCCTGTGCTTCCAGAAGACTCTCATTGCTGAAGACACTGAGGTGTCAAATGCTGGAGCAGAGACGAATTGAGAAGGCTGGTTTCGTTTTCACCACCCCCTTATCCTTTAGCACTTGGTTTTATGCCACTTTCTTCCTGTATAAAGGTCACAAAAATGGACAGCCTTGGTAAATTGTTTATATAAAACATATGGCAGGACAGGGCAAAGACATAAGCACTACATAAGGACTAACCTGGGAAAGGGCTACAACAAGAAGGCTCAAATTGCTGGTCAGGCTGGGCTGAGAGAGATCATTCACCTTTCAGTGGAAGAGATCCAAGTGCCCCATTCTCCATTATCTAAGTCTTTCCTCCCTCCCTCACATTTTAATGCACTTCGGACCTGTACAGATCTAAGTTTAAAACACCACTTGGGGTCCTCTGCCTTGTCAATGGAGAGAGATGGATATTTCTGACATCTTGCCTTATAGAGATGCAGCAATGAAAGCAGAGAGTGCTGACTGCAACCAGCTGGATGTGAGGCCATGGAAACACTGCACTTAAAACCAAAGCATGGCCAAAGAGAAGTGATGATTAATTCAGTCCCCAAATACCTCATTTCAAGTCAGACTCCCCTACAAATAGCAATACACCCAGTAGTCCCCAGGTGTCACAACACCATCCCTCCTCTGAGCCAGGAACCTGAAGGATGCACATGGAGCCCCATTTAACTTTATGTCAAAACTTTAAGTCTTTTCCTAAATTATTCAATGATTCTAAAACATGTTCTTTTGAAGAGGTGGGCTGCTCTTAACAAGCCATACCACCAGAAACAACCCTAGTTCTGGCACTGCTCACTCATCACTACGTAACTAATGTATTTATTTTTATTGACCAAATTTGTGCCTGCTAATTCCAAAAGCAAGAATGGTGCAGGGGCTGCTGCAGGGATTTGCCTGACAAATAAGAGCAAGAATGAAAGGCCATTTGGTGCTCAAGCATGGCAGATGGGGAAAGCCTGACTTAGCACAGCTTCACCCTTTCAAGGAACTGCTGATGGTACAGTAAAGATCAAACACACATGTAGAGCTCTGCAATTCCTTTTGTTATTAACCTTCCTCTGCTCCCCTCAATCACAGCTGGATCCCATTCATTTGCTTCCCTCTCTCTCCAAGCTGACTAAAAAAAGGACTTGATATCTCTTCTTCCTGATTTTCATGTGCTTACCACTTCATTCTTGACACTATCTCAGCAACAGAGGGAAGGGGGAGGGTACCTACCTAGAACATCTGGCATCTTGACAGTTTTTTTAAATAGACTTTTAAATGGGGCTAAATAAAGACTCTGTAGCACTCCGAAAAAAAAATTGCTAGTTTCACGGAATTCCATTTTGTGGGCTGCAGTGGAGAACAAATTCTTAGTAGTGTTTTTCCTCACCTAAGGCTAAATCTATCCCCAGATAGTCCCTGGGGTCTGTAGGATAAATTCCATGGGTGGCATAGTCCTATTTTTCTGCACTGTCAGCCAGCTCTGCCTACTTACGTGGTCCCTCCATGGAAGCAGGGGACATGGAACAAATACAGGATTTGTGGATTTTTCCCCTCACCCATTCTGCCAGATTTCAAGTCCCAGCTCTGCCTGGTGAGTGACAAAGCTCTTCAGGCTTCTGTGACGCAACCTACCCTCACTTACGGAGAATCAGGAAGATCATCCAGTCCCAGTTGAGGCTACCTTACCACTAGCCCTGGGCTGGAAAGAGACACAAGTTACATTGAATGGTTAGCTAGTGCAGTTCTAACAGTTCCAACAGTTGTGCTTCTATGTCCCAGGACTGACAAATGAGAACTCAGTGCCACACAACCATCTAGAAACAGCAACAATCAACCTGCCGGTCTTTGTGTTAGTCATCTAGTCCTCTTTCCTATGACCCAGGAGTTCTCACCAACCATTCTTTCTCATTAGAGAAGCCAATTTTCTATGTATTTTTGATCCCTGTAGTCTACAGCTTGGGCCAGAAGCCACTTCAGAAGTTGCAAACCCACAGCTAGCCAGATTAATCTAAGCTGTCTACAATGAGAATGTGCTCTTCTGGACCAAGACACCAGGTAGGATAATGGCAGTAGGACTGACCCAGACTGAAAAGCTGCTGCAAAGAAAAGAACTCCAAAACTGCCTTCAACTGCCTTCACCAGCACATCACCAGTAAAGCCCCGTCTCACCAGCCTGCTCAGACAACAGGTTATAGCACAGTTCTCAAAGACAGCAGAGAAACCAAAAAGCTGATTACATGGACACCAGTGTAAGACATGAGAGGCTCTCTACATCCCCTGGGATATCTTACAGAGGTCTGCCAATGAGATCTGAGTGCCTGAGGACTGGGAGCTGCAGGACAAGCAAAGACTTAACCGTCTCTTTGCATATGGCAGGGTATGATGGCCAGACCTGCCTTCCCAACCCACCAGGCAGCAAACCCAGAATAATCCACCAGCAATCCCAATAACCCTTATGGCTGCCCTAAATACAGCAACGCACCCTCACACAATGCCTCTGGGCACTGGATTCAATGTGCCTTTTATTAAGCTGGACAAAGATTCACAGAAGCTGGTTTGTAAGGGCTGAGAAATGGTCTGGTACTATCTTGATTCTACTTGTGCCAAGAACTCTCTCATCCCTGACAAAGCAGCTGCTGGGCCACCTCACCCTCTCCCTATGTTTCCCTAAGGCCACTGTATGGGCCCAATACAGACTAACACACAGTTCCAAACTTCACTTCAGACTAACTGCATTTTGAAGAACCATATTTTTCCCTACAAATCCTCCCAAAGATTCTGCCCCCAGACTCGTACAGTTTGGGGGAAGAGCACAGTCACCAGGGACACAGAGGCAAACAAGGGACTTACTTGTAGGTTTTGGTTCTGTCCAACCAGATGCCGGAGATCAGAGCCCCAACCGTCCCCGACACTATAATGGTGAGTCCAATCCTGCCAGCATTCACCTCCTCCCCCTGTGATGAGACACACACACACTCACACAAATGCAGGAGCTAAGTCATAGCCAACAAAAAGCAAAATGTAGAAAACCCAGAGAGGAAGAGACATCAAAGTTAGCCTCCCTACATGTTTTCTGCTGGTAACACAATAACCAGAAGGACCCTTTGCAAGAACACTTTTGGGCCCACTATGAGCCAGTGCATTCTGGTCCAGTAAGAAAAGTAGTTTGGCACTTCTCTCTGAGCCAGCCCAGAGAAAAAGGTGTGCACTGGCCAGCATGAACAGATACTCTCAGAGGAGTTAGCATAAACCCTATGAAGCTTGCTCTCTGGTGTTAGGATTTGGGCCAGATTGACTAGGAAATATTAGGACCTACTATAAGGCAGCACAGAAAGGAGCTCTCTGGCATACAGCACCAGCAGTAAGCTCTCCAGTAGCTCAGGTACTGAAGCACTCCACTCTTCTGCCACCAGAGCACCAGTGTGGGCAGCCCCCTGGAACAGATGTCCTAGCAGAAATCGTAGTCAGGAACAAGGGGAGTCAGTTGCTGGAAGATTTTCTCAGAAGTAAACACTTTCATTCAGGGTGCAAAGGAGCTGTCTTTGCTAGAGCTCACTAGTTTTTGCATGGGGTGGTGTAAAGAGAAAAAGGAACCAATGCTCTCTTTCCAGCCAGCCAGCGTGTGCCAGAGCCAGCCAGAAGTGCTGTAACATTGCATTTCTCACAGACTCTCCTTTGGCAGCCAGTGCTAGACAACAGCAAACATCAGAGGGCCACGAGGGTTGGATACACTTACTGGGTAGTGGTGGATCACCATGCGGTTCAGCAGAGTGGACAGGGCGTAGAAACAACCTACATTCAGACCTAAGAGGGGGATAAAAATGCAACACATTCAGAGCCTGCTACTCTCCTGCTGGGTTGTGGAAGGGTAGAAAAGCAGAGAGAGGAATCTTTGGGAGCATCAATCCAGTACAAGGCTGCAGAGTCTCAGGAGACTTAGCCAGAGTGGCTAGACATAGAATACTGAAAGAAATGCAGACATTCAGGCCTCAGCATGCAGGAGGAAGCACCCTGCAGTTTCAGGATGGTTCTTACCTTAGCAGCTAGAGGAAGGGCTGTGCACATTTCTGGTACTGAAAGGTCTTGAAAGCCCCTCATGGGGTCTCAACCCTTCCTCACATCCAGATCCATCTTTAGCACTGGAGTTTTCTCCTTTCCCCCCAGCCAAGTCAGAATACTAGAAAAACACCTGCCTCAGCATCACACCTTTAACAAGGACCTGGGATTCAATTAACAACAGTGTCATTGACCTGAGCATTTTCCTTCCAGAGAAGAGCCTGACAGCATTCTCCCTGCTGACAGCCAGTAAAAAAATATTCTCTCCAAGCCAAGAAACAGCAGAAGGCAAGCAGAAACAGAGCCGATGGTGAAGCACAGACAGCACTACCCCCAGGCACCTGCTATGTGTGTGTCTGCATGGGAAAATCTTGCATTTTAAAAGATATCACTGAGGCCTGAAAAAAAACCAACCGTGAAAGTAATTGTATTTCTGAAAGGGAAGTTAGATTAACTGTTACAGACATCGGCCAGCTGGTGAAGGTTTCTCAGTATCACCCAAGGTGAGAATGAAACTGTTGGGGTGATACTGGTCAAACCCCGTTCAGACACACTGCTTCAGCTTACATGCAACTCTCTTTGGTTAAATGCCTTCTCAAAAGGGCACAAAATCCAAGCGCTTTGCTAAGTGTAGGCAAGAACATACACATGTGCACTGAATCAGCAGTACTGCAATGGCTACACTCTCACCTTGGGTGATACTGAGAAACCTTCACCAGGTGGATGAGGTCTGTAACAGTCAGCACAACTTTCTTCTCAGAAAGTCATTTACATTTGCAGCTAGTTTCTCTTCAAGGCTTCAGTGATCCTGAAGTAGGGGGGTGGGATGGGGGACACAGATTTCACCACTGCAGCTCACACATCTATGGGCTCCATAAGGAGGCATGGTTTTAAAAAGTCTGGCATAGGTTCCTGAAATCCTCACAGAACAGATATGTGTCAAGTTGCCACTTCCTACTTTTCCTCTTTCAGCCTCAGCTAAAAGCAGAAAGTCACAATACATGATACAGAAGTGCAGTCTAGCAGGCAGAGCATTGACACAGGGGACAAACCCCTGAGCTCCCCTAACCCTGAAGTCCTCTAGCTCCCCTGATCCTTAAGTACTCAGCAATCCTGCGCCTAGCCCAGTCTTCCACTAAACACTGAATACCTGTTGCACTGCACAGCTCATGGAGCACTGTGAGGAGCCACAAGATTGGCAGCTGGGATTGGCAGCTGAAGGGGACATCACACTTCCTTTACACACCATCTCTGACAACATTACAATTGATTGTGAGGGTGGTGAGGGACTGGAACAGATTGCCCAAAGAAGTTGTGGATGCCCCATCCCTGGAAGTGTTCAAGGCCACAACAGACGGGGCTCTGAGCAATCCAGTCTAGTAGAAGGTGTCCCTGTTCACAGCATCGGGGTTAGAACTAGATGATTGTTAAGGTCCCTTCCAACCCAAACCATCCTATGATTAAGCAAAGGTCAATCCCCAGTTTTATGGCACACACAACAGATGAAAACTCTCATTCAAGTGATCCTAAATAAGCCAAGTGCCTGTGACAATGCTTCCTGCTCCAAAACCACGTGTCAGAAGGTTACAGGAGAGGCTAGTAAGTTGAGTGACATGCTCTTCAGGCAGGCGGAATCTAGCCAATGCTTTCCAAGAGTTACTCGAGAAGGCTGGAAACTCCAGCAGAGCCAGCAGCCAGAGATGGGGGAGAACAGTAGGAGATCTCACAGCAAGGAGGCGCCCTCTAGCCTTGAAAGCTGTCTCTTTGCAACACTTTGCCATAGCAAAACAGTTCTAGAGACCCTAATTCAGCTTCATCTTATCTCCACCTCTGGATCACCCCACTCATTAGGAGACATCACAAACTGCAGTGCCAGGACATGGGAGTATGGCAGATCAGCACAGTCCCTTTGCTACTTCACTTCAAAGCTGGGCATGAACACAGACCAATTTGTGCACCTCTACTTCTCACCCAGCCAAGAGGACAGCAGCCTTGTGAAAATAGACAGATGCTGTTCTGGTAGTTGATGCTGTCAGTACAAAAGCTTCACAGCAGCTCTGTGATGCATATGATTTCCAAGACTGAGAAGGGCCCCTGCTTCCAAGCTGGGCAGAAAGTAATGCAGAGCTGGCAGCAACACTTGGCACCACAGTCAGGCAAAATATTCTAAGAATCAAGACAGTGTGCCAAATTTGCATATGCGAGGGTTGGCAAAAGCTGTAGGCACTTTATATGTCACAGCTGCTCCGTGAAGTTTCACCGAGAATTACAGCTGTTTGAATGCCCATAAAACAGGCAACGGTTGTTTCCAACAGGGCAGTGACCATTTGCCCATGCAGATGAGGAAAATCAGAACTAGTAGCTGGGAGCAGGACATCTGAAGGTCCAGCCCCACCTGATTCATTAGCTAGTTACCATAGTTTGCTTGTAACGTGCTGTAGAATAGCATTTTTGAGACCTCACAGTGTCTCCTCTATTTTATAGAGGCCAGAATGGGGAAGTTTATTGCCTATGGCTCCAAAAGGAGCCCTTATTAAGCCTCAGACCAGAACCCAGGTCTTCCGTAGGTAAGCAGCCTATTGCTTACATGCCAGACTCCTGGTTTTCTTGTCTTCACCCATGTAAGCCTCCAGGACAATGGTTCCTTATGCAGATCTTGCTGCCCTGCCTCCTCCTCACTGCCCCATCACCTTTCCAAACCTTGATGCTTTGAGACTGTCTCACCACTCCCACTTTACCAGCCTTTCCCACCCTTTCCTGCCTACTGTCTCCCAGTAGCAACATGCTCTCAAATGCAGAGCCCAACTCAATAAACTCAGATATTTCTTAATGTCCATTCCATGTTATGCCTCAGCTTCATGGAAGCAATGTCAGCAGCCTTGGGGAAAAGGCTATCTGAGGGCTTTCCTCAAAAACAGTTCACTAGTACTGACACAGAGGCAGTGGCACCAATGTTTCCAGCACTGCAAGTCTTACCACAGGAAAGGGGTTGACAGCTGCTAGTAATATCAAGACCTTAGAGGTCTGCAGACCTGTTCTGACCTGGCGTCATGGAAGGGTCCCCATTCTTTCTACAGCCAGGGGAGATGAAAAAGCAGCAAGTATCCCCCTCCCTCCCCTGGCATACGCTATGTTAACACAAAAGCTGAGAGGCTGCAGGTATCTTTGTGCTAGCTAGGCAGGATGATTCAGTTGCACTTATGTGGCTGCAGATGTCTTAAATCTTGGCCAACATAACTTTTGACTTAAGTAGGAAAAACTGTCCCCATTTTAAAGCCAGAGAAGTTTAAAAAAAAGTTTCACTGCATAGTTCTCTCTCTGAGCAACAGTCACCATCTCAAGTCAAGCTGTAGATTGACATGACGCTGACACAAAGAGGAACAGAATAAATGCACAGACCAGCAGGAAGAAAAAATAAATTATGAGCCACTGAAACAGCTTTTCCACATTGTTTGTGACTGTCGGAAGGGAATTATCCTTCTAAACATGCTCTTCTGTACTGAGACCCCTCCTCTCTCCTCTAGGACTTGTTTACGCCTATTAAAATAAATGCTTTCACCTTCTCTTTCCCTGAAGCCTAACTGTGTACTGTGCAGATGACACAATCCAACTTTAGACACAGTCTGCCTGACAGTTTTTTCTGTCTTCACTTTCTGAGAGGGCATTGTGTGCTATGGGGGAAAAAAAGAAAAGCCAAAACAAACAGCTGCAATGCAAACCAGTGGAGTTTAAGAGCAATCTCAGAGGGGCATTTCTAAAAGTCTATTGCACTGAGAAGGAAAGAAGCATATAATTCAACAACCCCAAAGACCATTAGCACCCTCAGAAGGTACAAAGCCACTGTCTCATTCTCTCCAACCTGGTTACTCATCCGCCAGGTCCTTCAGATACAATTGCTGGCATAATGGTAGAACTTTCAGCAATATTTAACTTTCTACCTGAGGAGCTTCCATAGCAAGATGGTAGGAAGAGTAAGGACACAACTCCCTGCAGACTAGCTGGCTACAGTATAACTTATTATGCAGCCAGGCAGAGACTACAATGGCCTTTCTGCTAAAGAGAAAAACGCTGTTCCATATGCCAATTCAGCATCAGGGAATAGATTCAACACAGCACATTGCCCTCAGAGAAACAGACTGAGACTGCTAAAGAGAAGCAAGCAGCAAATTCAGAGTGCCAGGACAGATGGCATAAGAAGATGTTCTCCAGCCTTTTCTTCTATTTGTTTCATAGGGACTGCCTAGGAAGCTGACGAAGTCTGCACATCTGCATAGTCCACATGACCTCTACTGGGATGCCCGGCAGTCATACCCTTGCCTTGGGAAATGACTTTCACTCAGTGCTGTGACGTGCAATTAGACACTCCAATATATTTCTTAGGTAAGCACTTAGATTGGCTCATTGTAAGAACTAAGTGACTAGGAAAAAAGAACAGGTTAAGGAAAAAAGAACAGGATAAGGAAGAAAGAACAGGATAAGGAAGAAAGAACAGGATAA